ATCCCAGCAAGTTAATTTCGATTTACCACTTCCAATGCAATCCATGGCAAAAGTAAAGGCACCAATACATATTCCAAATTAAGGGCAGCCAAGCGGTCCTAAATCTAATTCCTGTGAGGATGTGTGGACAAAGGCTCTGATCTTAGGCCTCTCCCAGAATTTATTACCTCGTGAAGCAGAGTGAGTGAGGATGGTGGGAATTATGTGAGTAACTTGAGCTGGCTAGCCAGGCAGGGAGGAAAGCATCTCTGCAAAACGCAGTTAAAGATTTGCAAAAGAATCAATTTGCATAATCCAATTAAGATAGCAACTGAACTGTTTTAGGAGGCTGATGCTTCAGTTTCTGATATATAAATTTTTGTGCCCAGGGGAGTCATAGCCTCTTTACCTGGAAGCTCATACCCCATTGACATTCCCGAAGCTGCTGGCCCTAACATGTCACTGTGCTCATATCTTTTACAGAGAACACTATGCAAGGAAACAGGAGACTGTCGGTATACCAGTACCTTGGCTAGCCTTATTTGCAATGCTTAGAGAGAAGGAAATACTGATATAGGGGAATGAAACGCCCTCTAAAACCAAAGAATGAATTTTAGGAACAAGGAAGGTGAAGAGTAGAATATATTTATTCAGAGAAGGAAGCTTCTGTCTGAAGAGGGACAGAAGGGGTCCCAAGTGGGTTGCCAAGGACTCCATCTTTTCCAGGGACTTTTATAAAGCCACGGGTTTAAGGTGGGGAAAAGTGGGAACTCACAAGGCAGATGAGCATAAGGTGAGATATAGCTAGTTAGCCAATAAGTTCGGGTAAAATAGTTCAGCCTATTGAGTTCAGGTAAAACTGATTATATTAGGGACAAATGGGAAAGCAAGTTTTGTAGGAAGAAGGCATTCTTGGAGCTGTGACCTTTCCCCTAGTGACTCCAGGGTGAGAGGGAACTAATTAGAATATCAGTCCCCAGGATGTAGATGCATTTGTTTGATCCTTTGTCTTGAGGCCTGGCCCACGGCAGGAGGTGTCTGTCTCCCCCGGAGTTGCCAGGTTTTTGCACTGACTCCATTGAGGACCTAGCGCTGTCTCACTGCCTATATTTTTAACTAACTCAGCTGCCTGTAGCAATATCATAGCCAGCTCTCTGCATAATCAGTATAAGGAAATAAGACTCCAAATAATCAAAGTTACGGCAATTGTTTTGTATTGAAGGGGAGTCACTGAGTTGTCTCCCACAGTGCTGGGTATTGAATCACAGCTTTCATACTGAGCTACATTTTGGCCCTTGAAAAATTTTTTTGAGCTAGGTTCTTGTTCAATCGCCCAGACTGGGCTTGAACTTGCAGTCCTCCTAGCTTACTCTCCCAAGTACCTGGGATTAGAGGTGTGTCCTACTGTGCTTGGCTTCAGATATTCTTACTTTTAATATTGCCAAGTTTAGCAGTCAGACTTACAGGACTAGAGATTTTTAGCATCATGTTTAGGACATATTTTCCTAATCTTATTTTTATTTATTCCTTTTTTGGGCTTTTTTTGGAGACAGGGTCTCGCTATGCAGTTCAAACTGACTGTGAACTAACTATGTAGCTGAAAATGGTCTCAAAGTCATGGCAATCCTCCTGCCTCAGCCTCCCGAATGCTATTTTTACAGGCATGCACCACCACACCCAGTAGATATTTTCTTAATTTTAGAGCTTTTCCTAACCTTAAACCTCCATCTCAGCCCTGCTAACACAGTAAGCCATTTAATTCCTTGTTGTGGAGGGGTCCTGCGTACTGGAGGGTACTCAGTAGCACCCTGGCTTGTACCTATTAGATGCCAGGAGCAATCTCATCAGTTGTGACAATCAAAAATGTCTTCAGATACTGTCAACTGTCCCCTGGGTGGCAGTGTTGCCCTAGTTTAAGAACCACTGCTACAAGGGCGGAGATGTAGCTAGGTGGTGAAGTCATGTGGATTATGTGCAAGGCTCTGGGTTCCACATGCATCACCAAAACAGCACACCCCTGAACCATTTTTTTGGTGTTTCATTTCATTTATTCATTCAAAAACTGATTATCCAGTAGCTACTATTCATCAGACACCGTTTCAGGTAAAGGGTTCGCAGCAGACAGAACAATTACCATCTTCATGAAGTTTATAGGCAAGGAGGGGAGAGAAGAAACGAATGAGTAAGCGTGTTACATTGTCTGAATGTTCAGAAGGCACTGTTATAGATTAGAAGACAACCTCGGATGACGCTCTTATCAGAAAGCCTTCATAGCTGTGTGATTCAACTGGAATTGAGTTTTGTGCAATGTGACAGGTTTTCTGGTCTTCCTCTGCCTGAAATCAAGTCTTCTCCCTATCATTCCCTTATTCCCAAGGCATATCTTAATTTTTTTGGTCTTTTTGAGACAGGGTCTCTCTATGCAGTTCAGGAAGGCCTTGAGCTCGCTTTGTAGCCTAGGCCGGTCTCAAACTTGCAACGATCCTCCTGCCTCAGCCTCCCAAGTGCTGGGATTACAGGCATGAGCCACCACACCCAGCCAGAGCAACAGGAGGTTTTTAAAAAAATCAGTAGTGGGGACTGACTCACGACCATGCATTTGCAAGGCAGGAGCTTATGCTGCTGAGCTAAATTCCCAACCCCTATCTTTTTTTTTTTTTTTTTTTATCTGTACCAGGGATCGAATTCAGGACTGCATGTTTGCAGGACAGGTGCTTAAGCAGCTGAGCTAAATCCCCAGCCCCGCCCCCCAGCCCCTATCTTAATTACTCATGGTATTTTTTCATATAAAATTTGGCTAGTCAATTTCCAAAGCCATTTGCAATTTTTCTTGGGGCTACACTGACTGTATAGGTCTATGTGAGGAGAACTGACATCTTCCTAACATTATGACGTCTTTCAATATGTGGACATGGTTTGTGTCTCCATTTATTTAGATACATACATTTTTTTCTTTTGGTATTGTAGTGGAGGTTAAATCTGGGACCTTCGTAGTGAGTTACATCTCCAGCATCTTAAATTTGAAACAATTTTGAGTGGTTCTTACCACATTGTACAGGGTGGGTTTGAATTTGTGATCCTCCTGCCTCTGCCTTCCACAGCACTGGGATTATAAGCATGTACCACCATGTCCAATTCACATCCAGTTTATAAAAATATTTTTGAGCCAGGTGCAGAGGCTGACACATGTAATCTCAGGAACTCAGGCAGGAAGAGGGAAAGTTTGAGGACAGCTGTGACAATTTAGTGAGACATGTCTATTATTCCAGTCCTTTGGGAGGCTGAGACAGGAGGAGGAGGATTGCTGAGTTCTGCCTAGGGAATTTAACAAGATTCTGTCCAAAAGAAGGGGTGGTGGTGGCTGGGGATACAGCTCTCAGTGTAGGATTTAACCGCTAGTCCTTTTGATTCATGCTTGGTGGCCTCATCCATGGATGTTGAAGCTGATTTCTTTTTTTACTTTTTGAAACAGGGTCTCACTATGCAGTCCAAGTGCTTCCCGGAACTTGCTAGTTGTCTAGGATGGCACTGAATTTGTTTCCCTCCTGCCTCAGTCTCCTGAGTGCTGGGAATGCAGGCATGCATCACTGTGCCTGGCATTTTTGTCTTGTGATGAATGAGCCCAGAACCTGATCATATTAACTCCCCAAGCCCTACATTTGATTCACTGGACATAGTGAGCATGCTACTGAAACATTTCAAATAACCTCAAAATGGAATTTATTTTTATTGATTTTTCATTTATTTATTTTGGTACTAGGGATTGAACTCATGACCTCGTGCTTGCCAGGCAGGTGCTTGTGCCGCTGAGCTACTGCCCCCCCCCCCCATTTCTTTTTAAACATTGTTTTTTATTTTATTTTTTTAGACAGGGTATGCAGAGAGATAACAGATTCCTTTGGTTTTAAAAGGATATGGAGGGGCTGGGGGTTTAGTTCTGTGGCATAAGCACATGCCTGGCAAGTGTGAGGTCATGAGTTTGATCCCTGGTACTAAAACACAAATAAACGGATATGGGTGATATATACTTAGTTGTGTTCTGTGAACTACTGAACTGGGATCATTGTTAACATTAGTGTGATAAATAATACTTGTTCATCTTGGGGAATCAGTATCACTACATATCATATCTTAGGCATTTTTATTTTCTCTCACTCTCCTTACCATCCAACTTCCTTCTATCTCAACGCATCTGAATCATTTTGAGGAAATCACATCCCCTTCCTAATCTGTTGAGCATTCTTATGGGTAGACAAGACAGAATAATCTAAGGAGATTTTCTCACACATCCCTCTCTTCAGTTTCAACTGCGTGGAAAAATTGTGGTCATTCATAGATTTCTGTCCTAAAAGCTGGACTCAAATACGAGTAAGTCTGGGATAGCAGATGTTATGGCTTCTATCTAGATGCCACCAAAGCGTCATGTGGTCACAGATGGCGGGATCTAGGGTGTGTGATGCTACAGTGTGATTATAAAGGAGTCCACTGATTGGCTTGGCATAGTTCTGGGTGTGAATAATGGAAGGTTCAAAGGGTGGGCAGCCTGGAAGGGTAAAAGCGAGAGGCAGGTTCCTGCTGCTGCCTCACTGCCTTCTGCCTGCCACGAGCTTTTTTGTCTCTGTCATGTCCCTGTGCCATGCCACCTTGCCTTGGAGCCAGCCCATTATAAACTGAAACCTCTGTAAACAGTGAGCTAAATAAACCTTTCGTCCTTTAACTTTGGGTATTAGGAATTTGTCTCAGCAATGAGAAAAATAACTAAGACAGGAGATATTCTCCTTTTGGTCTCATTCTGTAGCTCAGGCTGGCTTGCAATTTGTGATCTTCCTGACTCAGCTTCCAGTATGCTGGGATTATAGGCGTGCACCACCACGACTCTAAGGAAAGAATTTTTACAACTTGAAAATGTTACTAAAACATCTTGCCATGGAAGAACATACTGACTGTCTAGTTGTTGCTTTTCTCCTTTTCAGAAAAAAATCACTGTTGAGTAGGAACAAATCACTGACAATACATAGAAATTTTATTATTAATAAAACTTTATTATAAACTTCTCTGGAATATAAACTGATTTTGTATCAAGACTCTTTGAAACTTTTAGAACTATATGTAACATAAGCTTATTATTATTATAATATTCCATTTTCCAACCTAGAAAATATACTGCAAGTTAACAAAGGGGGAAAAAATCTAAACGGCTTTATAGAGAAAACCAGTGAACATAAAAATACCCAACTCATAGAGAAAACAAATCCAATCAAGAAATATTCTGCAAAGCCTGTTAATCTTCCAGTTTAAAATAAATTATTCCCCAAGAGAAAATAATTCCATCATGGCAATCTGAATAAACTAGAACCACTCTCCTAAAGGAAAATTGTATCAAATGTAAGAAAACTGTGATGTTTTTAGAAAATGAGGAAAATTTCCAACACAGCAAGCATCCTAAATACTTCGTGTTCACCTGGCCTTTGTTAGAATTAAACTACTTTTTCACTTAAGTGATAGGAACATGAACATCATAACACCAAGCTCCTCAACTACTTTTTCAGTTTCAACCTCAGGAGAGCCGACTCAAGAGCTTCAAAACCCCAGGATAGACTGGTCCCAGAGCATTTCCTCCTCTGTTCTTTCTTCGCCTTGCTCCTTTTTCTCCTTCCTGCGCTTGCGGTCCTCCTTCCTAGAGCCTACGTCTCGGCTTTTCTTCTCCTTTCGATGCTTAGGCTTTTCTGCACCGCCCTGCACAGGTTCCGTTTCTACCTCTGTTTTCTTTCTTTGGATGCTTGAGTGCTCTTCTAAATCTGCCTCTTCAAGACTCCTCCTCCTCTTGTGCTTGGGCCGCTCCTCCCTCGGCTTTTCTTTGCCTTCCTCTGGGCGCCTTCTTCTTTTCTGATGACTGGCTTGATGGGCACCAGCCCTGGCTCCTGAGGACAGGTACTGGGGGACTCCCGAGTCTACACTGGCTGAACCGTGATTATACTCTTGCTGGCTGAGGTTCAGGGGTGCTGGTTTTTCTGAGAAACAGTCCCTGGGAAACTGACAGTAGCTCAGAGACTCTAGTCTCGGCCTGTTGTCGTGAGCTGGGAACCACTGAGGTAAGCGGTTTTCTGTCTGGGAAATATTGCGTGATCTCGGATAAGTCTGGATGGTACCAGACGGGAGTCTTTGATCAAACATTCTATAGCTGGGTCTGGAATCAACTTCTTCCCTGTACCCACAGCTTTCCAAGTAGTCCTCCCTCATTTTTCTGAAACAAGTCTTTGGCTCTAAGCCTCTGGCTTTCTGCGCTTTAATATAATCTTCGAGTTCATCTTGAAAAGAGTCATATGACTTTGAATGCTTCATTAGGTTGACAAAAAGGGATTCTCTGCAGGGAAGATGGGGAGAAAAGCCTTATTATATTATTTTGTTCTGAACATTTCCTCTGCTCTAGTTTCAAAAATAAAGCAGCCCAAACAAATTAAAACCTATGTCCGCATAAAGTTAACTATGACAACATGTGCCAAAAAGTAGTCAGGATGCTCAGACCTCTCCCAGGGCACTCACAAGTAAGGTCTCTTTCTCTAAAGTGGGCAGAAGAGGGCAGAAAGGAGCCGACACAAAGGACAGAGGGTGCTGCTGTAAAGCTAAAGGGTAAGATGCACAGGGAGGTTTGAACGAGAACCACACATCTGTGGAATATGGGAAGGCTGATCTTGTATTTAGGTAATTTCTAAAGTTCTGAAATTTTTTTCTGGTTAATCAACTTGCTGTACATTGGTTTCTAGCGAACCACAAAAAGGTAACTTGATCTTCAGAATCTTCAGTTTACTCAAACAGGATAAACAAACACACTCACCTGACTATAGTACTGTAAGGCTTAATAATAAAAGGATGTTTGTAAAATGGTTTGGGAATGCTGGAAATGAGAGATTCAGCTCGGAGCTGAAAACCACTCTTAGGTGTAGTGTATGGGGGATGTGAGAGACAGAGTTCTGTGTCTTCTGTGTAGCACTTGGGTTTCGTTCTATGACTTCTGATTGGTTAAAAGCATTCTAGAACACCTTGGGTTTGTTCTCTCAAAGTACTGGTGAGAGGATCAGGGGAGGACATGGAGCAGAAAGCTAGAAGAGATAGAACTGACACAGAAAACAGCTTCGGAAGATCATAGATGCATCAGAACTTTGCTTGCTCAACTCTTTTACAGGAGGGAGAGAGGGGAACCGTTCACTGCTCCTGATACTTTTTCTTACCTCCACTTCAATTCTGAATAAATATAAATACAGCAGAAAGTGTACTTACCATAATCAACACCCTATACACTTCTCACCCTACACACTTCTGGGGACTATTTTATCTCCAAAAATTAGGAAGGAACAGCAAAACACATGTAGAAATGAAAACTTCTTCCCTTTAACAAAAGGAAGTCTGATACAGATCTCTAGTTGTTAAAAATCAATTATTTTCCTGGGAGAAAAGGAGTTTTAAGTGAGGCCTGATTTGATGAATTAGGAAGATTAGCTGGTTTTCAATTTAAGTAGTATGAAAATTCTGATTATGATAACAATGTAACAAATATTTGATTAAATATGGGCCAAATATTTTATGACACTTGTAAAGAATGTATATACAAATGGCCAAGAACCACATGAAAGATGATCATTAGCCATCATGTAAATGTTAATTAAAATCACTATGAGTATTTCTATACTGTTTGTGTCCTAATGTCTCCCCAAAGCTTCATGCAGTGATGGGCGACAGGCCTTTTCAGAGGTAGCTGAATCTACAGTTTGTGAATGATTCATAGTGCAATGCTGAGATTAAGGCTGAGTGCTTGCTGGACCAGTTCACTGACTGGATTGGCACCATCCTAATCTCAGCAGTCTGGATAAGAGGGGCAGAAAGAGGTTTATTCCCCCCTTTGTTCTTGCTGTCTTCCCCTGCCATGAATTGTTGCCCTCTGTCATGACACTCTACCTTGAAGTCAGCTGATTATGCACTGAAACCTGTACAAACTGTGAGCTAAATAAACCTTTCCTTTTTTAACTTTGGCTCCCAGGTATTTTGTCTCAGCAATGAGAGGAAAAATAACCAAGACACACACACACACACACACACACACACACACACACAGGAATGACTGAAATCCAGACTGACAATACTAGTAGTGGTAAGGCTGTGGTACAAGAAGGCTCACAGATTGCTGGTCGGAATGCAAAATGGTATAAACACTTAGCAAGTTTGGCAGTTTCGTGAGAAGTTATACACATACTTACCAATCCTATTTACCCCAAATAATAGACAATATATACCTAGCAAAAGACTTGCACATGAATGTTCTTAGTTTTATTTGTAGTAGTACCCAAAAGAAAACCCCCCTGAAATTTCACTCAGTATGTGAATGGGTAAACCAAATGGTGGTACAATCACACAATGGAATAAATACTGTCAGTGATAAAGAGTGGAAACCCATCCCGATTGTTCATCAGCTGGTAAGTGGCTGTAGTTGTGTAAGAGAATCAAAATGTGGTGTATTCATACAGTAGAATACTATTCTACACTGAAAAAGTAATGAAATACTGATACACAGTGCAACATGGACAAACCCTGAAGAGAGTAGGTTAAGTCAAAGAAGACAGTCCCAAAGACCAGTGGTGGCACAGATATGAGTGAAGAAGTGAAGGAAGCTTACCTTTGTTAGGCTGAGGACTGGCTGGAGAAATCTGGTCATATTTATGTAGTACTTGCTTCAGTTTTTCAGCATGAACTATCCCCAAATAGTGAGACTGTACAACAATCAGGTAGCTAAAAATCATGATGCAGAGATCACAAAATTTATTTTTGTCCAATATTCTACTCCCATTCACCTGAAATCAAGCACAATCTTGTTATGAAGATTAATTCAAAGTTTTGAACTGTACAACATAAACTAATTATCTCATACGCATAAACTCTACCTTACTATTTTACTTCCTATAAACCTGAAAACGAAGCCTTTTTTCCACGTGTGTGTGTGTGTGTGTGTGTGTGTGTGTGTGTGTATTATCTAGTACTTTGGTATCCCAGCTATCAGTGTCACAGTTCATGGATCCAACAGTTCATCCAGGACTTAAGAGTACTGCAATGTAGTGTACTAAGACCGTTCATCTTCCGGGACACTGTTACACAGGAAAGATGATACAGAATGAGAAGCCACGTCACATAAAGGGAAAGAACACCGGATAGGGAGTCTGACCTCACTTACAGGCTTAGACATGCCTGGACTAGTAAGGACATTAAGTCATCGTTTAACTCTAGCATCTACAATTCTAAGGCTCTTTTAAAAAGTGGGGGGAGAAGTTGAGCATAAGGTTGTTACATATGGTATTTATAATCTTTAGCTACTGTAGGAGAAGCCTCTGGGCAGGCTTTAATATCTCTTGACTCATATTAGTAGTTTCCAGTTCAAACTTTATAATCCTACTCTTGCTTTATCTTTCTCTCCTCCTGGCCACTCCTGCCATACTGGGGGCCTTCACACTATGCTACAGCCCCAGGCCTTAAATTTTGACACAGGATCTCAATAAGCCACTCAGTTGTCCAGGCTGGGTTTGAACTTGTGATCCTCCTGCCTCACCCTTCCAGAGGACTGGATTATAAGCTTGTTTCCTTTTTTATTTTCTGTAAGAACTAAGTGTACAGTGGCTTTCTGGATACAATGGAAGACATGGGGAAAAGAAAATGAGCTTCAAAGTTACAAGGACCTGAGCTTAAACTGTAATTCCCCAAATGTAAGTCATGTTTCTTTTCTTTGTCTTTCTCCTCGTCCATTAAGAGGACATTGCCTTCCCGCACATGGTTTTTGCAAGGATCAAATAAGATGACATAGATGACATTTATCTGCTACGTTGAAAAGCTTCAACAGGACCTATTTCTTTCATTTTCAACCTACCTCATAATGTAAAATGTTTTATTATTCAAACTGTAGCACTACTCCACAGGTGACTTTTACAAAAAGCACTTGTAAATTCAGTCTTTCTTCATTCAATATGGTACCTACGGAGAAGATGAAGGGGGGTAAGACAGAAGATCGCAGTAAACCTTTAAGATGTTTTTAAATATGTACTGGTATTATCCCATACACCACCTCAACTCCTAATATCCTGAGTGCTGACAATGCTACAGTAATAGCTTTCTGCTCTTTAGAATGGCAATCTGAAATGTTTAGTAAGCCTCTAACATCTAATATGGTACAATTATTTTTGTTTGGTTCAGAAAATAGCATTTTGAAGGAAGTTTCTGTAGCACTAGCAAAATTATAAACTTTCTGGAAATGGTCAGGGGCACCTATATGTGAAGGTTGGCTAAAAATTCAGTCATGGCATTTTATGTTTTACAGCAAAATTTCAAAAAAAAATTTTTTTTTCATTTGGTGGTACTGGGGATTGACTCCCACGAACATTCCCCCCTTTTTTGGTACATTTTAGATATTCAGAATGATCACATTCACCATAGAGAATCTGTACCCGCACATGATATATTTTGCTTCTTCTATCTCCCTCCCTGTCCTATTTACAAAGCTTTGTCTCCATTCTTTCCCCTATTTTTTCCTTGTTCCTTCTCTCTTTTCCCCTCATCTCACTTGAACATTTTCTTCCCATTTCCCAATTAACACTTATTGTTGAGGCAGGGTCTCACTGGGCTTGGATTTATGATCCTTCTACCTCTGCCTCCCAGAGTGCTGGGATGACAGACAGGTGTGTGAGAGCACACCCAGCCGCAGTACACTTGAGGACAGTCACTGATGCTAGCTTCGGCAGTCCCTCTCAGCTGTGGGTCCACATCCTTGGCTTAAACCAATTGCTGACAGCTGGTAATTGAAAATTGTGCCTATATTAAACATGCAGTCTTTTTTCCTTGTCATTATCTTCTAAACAACATAATGTAACATGTTTGCATAACGTGTTAGGCATTATTATGATCTGAAGTACATGGGAGAACAGGTTCAGGCCATGTGCAAATATTACCCCACTTCACAGAAGGGATGTCAACATCTGTGATTCTGCTACCTGCAGCAAGCCAATCCCCTGCCGATACTGAAAGATGACTGGACACCACTAATGTCACTTGAGCATCAGACGGAAGCCACAAATGATTCTCCTTTACTTGTCCTTGTATAGTTGGTACTAATGTGATCATATGCATTTCATTTAAAAGACTCATGTAAGCTCCTCAAAGTTATCATTACATTCATGTATCAACTTCAACCAAGTTTTTCTCATAATAAAGAATCTATTTCCACGATGCTACCTTTACACTTGATGTCTACACTTCAATCTAAAGTTTTAAAAATGCTGACCATGGTGGTGCATGCCTGTAAACCCAGCACTTAGGGATGCTGAGGCAGGAAGGTCACACGTTCAAATTCACCCTGGGTAACTCACTGAGACCCTGTCTCAAGACTAACAGGTTATTTTTTTTAAAGGGCTGAAGATGTAGCTCAGTGTGTGGGGCCTGGGTTCAACCCCCAGGACCAACTGTGGGAAGACAAAGTTTTCAACAGTAGAAATATTCGTTGTCCTGCTATGTAGTGCAGGCTGGCCTTGAACTCATGGAAATCCTGCTTTAACCCACACTCAGTGCTGGGATTACAGATTTAAAAATAGGATGCTCTGGTTGGAATATATAGCTCAAGGAGCACATGATGGAACTGTACTGCTGAATGCAGCAGTGCTGGGAGGTGGGGCCCGTGGGAAGTGTTCAGGGTACGTGCATGGTCCCTTTATCCTTGTGTTACTGCCTATGCTGAGGGACACACACTTCCACCATACAGGGATGCAGGAAGGTTCTTGCCAGATGCTGGTCCCATCATTCAGGAGTTCCCAGCCTCCAGGACTGTGAGGAACAATCTCCTTCCTACACACATCACCCAGCCGTGGTACTGTTACAGAAACACAGCATGGACTGACACAGAAGCCAACTGGAAAACAGGACTACATAGCCAAGTCAGAACCGTCCATGATGTAAAAATGGGAAAAACAAAATGTAGGATGCTGGTTAAGTAGCTATTCAAAAACTCAATTTTGCTATAAACAATCTAAGATACACAATCGAAAACTGCTGAGCGTGGTGGCACACACCTGTAATCCCAGCAGTCGGGAAGCTGAGGATTGCTGCGAACTCAAGACCAGCCTTAACTACATATGGAGAACCTGTCTCAGAAAAACAAAAAAACATATAAGCAAAAATTAAATGTGTATATGTGTATTTACTGTAGGGAAGGAACTACTATATGGTTTTGGATTGACTTCCTTCCTTTCTGGGGAAGGCACAGGTCATATAGGTGACACCCAGACCTGAGCTGAGGGCCTCTACATGCCAAGAGGGAGGACACCTCATTTCCAAAATTTCCCTAGTAAAGCGTCCCTGGCTAGGGATTGCTGATAGTAATAGGCCCCAAATCTCAGTACAGACTATGTTACAAAAGCCACATATTCCTGGAGTAGAATATGGAGGTAATTCATGATCTCTTTGGGCAGCACCCCTGCCAGCCTTACCTGGAAACCCTATTATCCTGGGCCAGGGTTAAACACTCCAGGCAGAGCCATCTTTTATGTGCTAGACGCTTCTCTATCTCATTTGAGGCTCTCAGTTGCCTGTACCTCTGAACTTAATGACTAAGCTTCACTCCTGGATTACACTGCAGAAGTATGTCAATCTGATTTGATAGTCCAATCCTGTGTGTCAGCTCAATTTTTATAAAACAAAACCCTGAAAACGTATGAACTCAACTCAATTGGGTCTTGGAAGTGGGGTTAGAAGAAATACAGGAACCATTTAACATTTGTTCTCTGTATGTCTGTATTGTTTTAATTTTTGCAAAAGCATGATTTTATAAACACTCCACAGCCATCGGCCATGGTGGTACATGCCTGTAATTCTAGCAATGGGGAAACAGGATCTCAGAGTTCAAGACCAGCCTGAACCATATAGTAAGACCTGGTCTCAAAACAACACAAAACTAAAAAAACTCCATAAATAATTGTTACACTGGGTATCTTCAAAAACTAAGCTTAATGTCAGTGTATAGTTAAGTTGGGTTTGCTTGTACTTGATTTGGTGGTACACACCTGTAATTCCTGCACTTGGGCAGGCAAGAGGAATGCTACAAGTTCAACGCCAGAATGGATTATATAGCAATACTTCGTCTCAAAATTTTTTTTCCTTACAAATATTGTGCTCCAAGTAATAATTCTAAACCAGAAATATTTTAGAAAAAAAATTTGGTAAAAATATACTACCTCAAGAAAAAAAAATACTATCTTTCAATTATTTATTTTAAAGTGATTTGACTCTAAAGTCGGCAAGATAAGAAGATTAACTACAGAGATTTACAGAACTTCCTTTAACTCAGACTATATACAAACTGACTATGGTGATACACTATATTACCTTTTTGGTTTAAGATAGGCAAGGGCTCACCATTTTTGCCCAGCCTAGTCTAAAATTCCCAGGCCCAAGTAATCTTCCTTCCTCAGTCTCCCTAGTAGCGGGAACTTGGGAGCTAATTCAAATTGGTTCAGGCTTCAAAGCAGTTTTAATGGTCCCATCAGAATTTCTTTTTAAGCAGGATCTTGATAGGTTGGCCTTGAATATAATATATAGTCCATGCTGATCTCAGACCCTCAGGGATTCTCCTGCATTAGCCTCCTGAGTGCTAGGATTAAAGGCATGCATTACTACACCTGGGTAATTTTTTTGTTTGTGTGGTAGCAGGGACTGAACCTAGGACTTTGCACACGTTAGGCAAACATTCTGCTAATGACGAAAATTCCCCAGCCCCCGTTTGTTTTTTTGAGTCAGCATCTATGTAGTCCAGGCTGGCCTAAAACATGTCATCTTCCTGGTTCAGTCTCCTAAGGTTACAAGTGTGTGCCACCATGCCTGGTTCCTACTAAGATTTTGAAAGGGAGGATGGAACTGTGATATATCTGAGCATGATACTTCTTTGATAAGTTCTGGAGAAATCTCCGAACAAGGTCTCTCCCCACTCCCTCTGGAAAAAAAGATCCTGGTGAAGTATCAAGCCATCTTTTTCTTGTAGCCCAGAAGCTTTATCATCCTGTTTTAGCCTCCTAAATGGTAGTCACCATGCCCGGCTACTTAAGGCTCTTGTAACTACCTAAGAAAATGCTAAGTCCTAATTGTGCTTTAAATAGTGTAACATACCAAATATTTACCATCTGCCAAGTTACCTGAACTGCTAATGAAGGATACGTACCTGAAATAGTGACAAAAAATAATTTTTCTTTTTGGTACCAGGGCAAAAAATAATTTTTTAGGTAAGAGTTTGCTAAATAATCTCAACTGCAACGCTGTAGAGATTTCATTAGTCTTTGAATGTCAGTTAATGATCATTAAAGGGCAGTTTCATGTTTCATTAATCACAATTCTTGTACACAGCCAGACTGGGGGATGGAAGGACACCAACACAGGACCGCTAATGCTGTTAAAAGTCATGTGCAGTTAGTGCAGGGTCCACTTTGAATATCCCTGACATTCTGGGTTGGTTAATTCTATTTGTGTGTTTCTGTGTGGTCAGCCCATAAATCTTAGGATGTTTGTGACACTTCTGGCCTACACCAAATTGCCTGTAGCACTTGTGCTCCCTCACCATGTCCCTCCCTACCTGGAGGTGACAAGGAAAAATGTCTCCAGACACTGTGTCTGGTGTGAGATCACCCTTGACTGAGAACTGCCAGACCAGTCCCAATAACCCACCCAACAGATGACAAAACTCAAGCCCAGGAAGAGTCACAGCTAGCAGTGAAAGGAGCATCTATTACTAGTCAAACTTTTTGAGTTTAGTATTCTCATTTTACTACCTTGAAGGTGTATGGAAAAGTCACTGTTAGCACTGTATGAACTGCCATCTTTTAAAGTCTGCACACATGCAAAGTCATTGCAACAAAACAAAACAAATAAAACCCTCTAAGTATCAAGTCTGGTAAGAGCTGTTTTCAAATCTGGCATGGGAACCACACTGACACCTACTAGCTGCTCAGGTGTACTTGGTGACAAGCAGGTAGTTTGGTTTAAAAGGGAAAATGATTTTATTTTGTATCTCAGAACAGTGAATGATATTTATCCTCTAGGCTGTCTTCAGTCACTTACCTGGTTGCAATCAATTTCTAATGAACTTTATTATATATGTTTTACAGGGACTGATGCCAGGGCCTTTTGCAGAACTACAACCCTAGCCAGTCTTTTATTGAGACACAATCTTGTTAAGCTGCCTAGGTTGGGCTGGAACTTGTGAACCTCCTGCTTTAGCTTCCCAGAGTATTTGGATTGTTGGTGTCCACACCACAAGAAATGATTTACAGTGTTATTACATTTATGGTTGTCCCTCCTAGAGAAAGGACTCTAAATTACTCTGTAATATTGTAGCTTCTATCATCTCATACTCTATAGATGAAAACAAAAACAAACCAGAAGCAAGAAAGCAAATACTAAAAATTATAAAAGTCAATGTCTGAATGTTTTACTGAGATCTTTTGAGGGGAAATAAATACTCTAAAACCAAGTCCAAAGTTGCTTTAAAGCCTTTTCTGCCAGCTAACAACAGGCTATTTGCAGGTTATAGTATCCTACTTGTAAGAATGCAAACATCTCTTAGCTTGGGACAGTCAGGAAATAGCTGTGTCAAGGGAAATGTGTTGGTGAGAACTGTAAAAACTCCGTAACTCTGTACAGAGACTTAACCAAAACTGAACATGACCTCCAGCCATCTATGACCAGGTCTCTGAGATAACCCAGCAACTCCCCTCCCACTTTGAATTCCCATTTGGGAAAAGCTCTGAGCAGTCAGAAGAATTCAGTTTGTTCTAGCCAACACCTGATGACCGGCCACTGACCTTGCCTGTTTGGTTTTTCCTTTTAAAGACAGGGTCCTGCTATGTGGTTCAGGCTGGTCTTGAACTTGCCCTGATCCTCCTGCCTCAGCCGCCCAAGCCTGGGATTATAGGAGTGTGCCACTACATCTGGCTACACTGTAGTCTCACCTATTTCTTGTGCTGGGTACTGAAGGTAAGGCGTGGTAAGCAAGAGAAATCTACCATTGACCTACAAGTCCAGCGCCGACCTGTTTTTAAAAGCACTAACTAAAAAGGGCTTACAATTGTAAACCTTTCCCTGGTGCCTTTTTTCTTCTTTTTGGTGCTGGGGATAGAATCCAGGCAGGGTCTTGTGTGAGTTCTACCACTGCGCTACACCCCAGCCCTCTTCCCTATTTTTCTGAGAAGCACAGACAGCGGCCAAAACGCAGGAATGTCTTTCTCAAGGAGCGGTGGGCCGTCTGTGTCGGAGATTAACTTGCTAATTCCTAGCCAGCAGACAGCTGGCCCACTTGACTTTACAAAATGACTAACCCTCTGTGATTATTCACCTCCCCTCCTTAGGCAGTCTCCTTTCTTTCTTTTTTTTTTTTTTTGTCTTTTTCCTTTTTATCGGTACCAGGGATCGAACTCACGACTGCCTGCTTACAAGGCAGGCGCTTATGCCGCTGAGCTAAATCCCCAGCCCCGGCAGTCTCCTTTCAAAGACCCAGTCTCTTCTGAGCAAAAACGAATAAAGTTTCAACTTTTCTCCCTACTATCTGTAGTGAAGAAATAAATTGTTTTCACTGTTCTAATTTCCACCTTTATTTCTACTCCCGGTAGATACACATTAAGACTCAGATAACTATTAAAATGGGCTTGTAATCTTAGTAACTTATCTTACAGTGTCACGTCCTCAAAAAGTTTAGGGAAGGCACAGACCTGTGATCCCAGAACTCTGGGAGGCTGAGACCAGAGGATCGCCAAGTTCGACCCCGCCCTGGGCAACTTTGCTGCAAGACTATCTCAAAATTAAAGTAAGGACTAGGAATATACAAAGGCCCTGGGTTCAATCCGCAGTATGGGAAAGGGGCGCTTGGAAAACTCTAGGGTGATTCCCCTTCACCCCTTCTTCTCCAGAAAAGCTCTGCAAACTTTAAAGTCCCGAACTATTTCCTAGAATGACTCCCGTCCCCATCCCTAACTCCACTGATCAAATTCCTACCGTGAAAGCACTACTCTCCTGGACGCTGAGTTTCACTCCCCAGGCCTGGGCGCTGCTCGCCGAGGTCTGCCCCTTCGATTTCCGGGGTCCCCGGCCCGCCCCCCTCTCCCTTCCCTGACGCCCCAGGGGCGCACGCCCTGCCTGGCCGCCTCTCTCCCTTCCGAGGCGTCCCCTGGTCCTCTGCGGGGAGCCGGGCGCCGCGCTCCGGAGACGCCGGCCGCGCCCCGGGCGGCCATTGCGCACACGCGGGGCGGGGCGGCACGGCACGACACGGCGCGGCGCGCGGGGCCTGCGCGGGGCCGCGGGAGCCGGGGCGCTGAGAACGGGACGCCCCCGCCGCCGGGCGGGAACTCACCTTCGCTGAGGCAGGGGAGGAATCTACAACTACTGTCCCCCTCCCCGCCAACGCCGCCGGCCGAAGGACTGGCGGCGGTGGAGGTGGCGGAGAGGCAGGAACAACCGCTGCCGCCGCCGCCGCCTCCGCCGCCGAGCAGGCGGGGTGGGAGGAGGAGGCGGAGACCCGGCTTCCTGAAGGGAAGTAGCCGCCACCACCCGCGGCTGACTGGACGGCGCCGGCGCCATGGCGGCGAGGCGTTCTGCTGCGCTTGCGCAGTAGGACTTTGCGCCGGACCGCCTCTTTAGCCCCGCCCACCGCTCGCCCCCGCCCTCTCGGCCCGCCATTGCCGGGCTCCGCTTTAGCTCGGCTAGAGCTCTGGAATTCGGTCCGGTCACTCAGCTTCCCATTGGGAGGCGGGAAGAGCGCGCGGGGCGGCTTTCTTGCACCTAAGTGCCAGCGAAGTGGGCCTGCAAGTTCGAGCGTTCCCTGAAAAATATCTCAAAAATACATAATCTCCTACCTTATCTTTTTTCTCGTTACGACGTTTAGTACACAGAATGGATTAAGCACAATTCTTAGTTATGATACATCATTGGTCAGCGAATGACTTTCCAGGTGATGCGTGTACGTACATAGCACATAGGTGCATACAAATGTACTCATGCGACTCCTCCCGTGTCCCAAAGAAGTCAGTACCCTTGTTTGCATTCATTTCCGTCTTCCATCTCTCTCAAACACATGTATGCATATAAACACATATCTATTTACTTACATATGGCTAAAGTATTTAGATTGTTTTTAAGCTTCATTAAGATTTATATTTTCCTCTGCACAGCATGCTGGCACTTGAATGTCTCAGCATACTGAGATTCATCTAAGCTATTGAGAATAGCTGTAATTTTTTTCAGTTCAGTGGTGTACAATATTTCACCTCTTGCTTTTTTTTGGTACTGGGAATTGAACTGGGGACCTTTTACTTGCCAGGCAGACACTTTGCTACTGAGCTATGTCCCTGGCCCTCTACCTGTTTCTTGTTGATAGGCGTGTTTCTTGGTTGATGGTACAAATTTCTTACTGGTATACTTTACTTTCCCATCACTGACTGCCTTATTTCAGGTTCTCCTCAGCATCTCTCCCTTCCTTGGATGCCAACTGCTCTAATCTACTTTCCCTGGTGCTACCGAGGGTTCTCACTAAGGTTGTTATTGGCTGCCCATTGTCTATTGAGAAACATGAAATTGGTCCTACCATGGGCTTTTCATTCCTCATCCAGGATGATATCTGGCTCCCTCTCCCTCCGACTCCCCTTCCTCCTCCCTCTCCTTTTTCTCCTCTCCCTTTCCCACTGTCTCTGCCTCCCTCCCTCCCTCTTTGCTTTTAAAGACAGGGTCCTGCTATGTAGTTTGGGCTGCTCTTGAACTCGCTATGGCGCCCAGGCCGGCCTCATGCTTGCCTGTCTCAGCACGGATTCCAGTTATAAGCCACAGCGCCCCAGCACCCTCAGTCTCATCCTTTCTCCCTCCCCACCCTGCTTTCCTCTTCTGAATCAGCCCATTAAACCTGTGCCAATCCCTGTAAACACTACCCTACTGCAGGTTCTCAACTCGCTGCTTCCTCTTCTTGGAGTGCCCTTTCCTTCTGTCCTAACGGGCTCCTTTTTCTTCAGAAGTAATGTGTTGAATTCAGTGTCTCTCATTCCTCTACATTTTTTCAGACTTTTACTGTATATGTATCTGAAGGTAACAGGCACATTGCTTTGCATTTGTTATTATGTAGTCCTCGTTTTATTTTATTTTTTGTCTTTTTGAGCAAAGTCTCGCTGTGCAGTTCAGAATGACTCTGAACTCCTTTTATAGCCCGGGTTGGTCTCAAACTTGCAACTATCCTCCTGCCTCAGCCTCCTGAGTGCTTGGATTACAGGCATATACCACTACACTGGGCTCAGATTTTCCTCGTTTAATGCCACACCCAATTAACTGCTGTTCAGACCTATGGCCCATGTTTGTGTTGTTTATAGAATCTCAATGTTTTTTTTTTGGTACAGTACACCCTGTTTATACAGCACTGTAATATTTGGTGATTATCCTGTACTGTATAGTACTTGAGGTTTATGTTCTGTTACATAGCACACTGCTACACCGAAGAGTTATGTAAATAAAAGCAAAGTTATCAAGTTCGGAGTTTCCTTTGGCCATTTCTTTGTTCTGAAGATTATAATGTACATACTACATGGGACTCCTCACTTAGCCACTGATCCAACTAACAATCTAGTTGGAGAGACACAACTCAGTCTCTCTGAATGCCAGGATTATAGGCATGCACCACCATACCTGGCTTGTAGCTTGTATTTTTTTAACTCACTATTTTCAATATTAATGTCACTTTCTTATATTAATGTATGCTGATATGTAGGGTTCTAATTTATGCACTTTCCTGGCTCAGTAATTGTCCATCATATGGGTTATCTATTGCTAGACATTTTTGTTAGAAATTGACCCTGCTTCCCAGTTTTACAGAGTGTTGCCTTAATGTTCTTGTTCACATGAATAAAAGCTTCCCTAGGGTTTATGCTTAGATGTTGCTGTTTTTGAAGTGGGAGACCTTAAGCATATCCCTTATTTCCCTCAACCTCCATTTTTAAAATGGTGATAATACTCCCTTCAGAAGCTGCTAAGAAGCTGAGCCTGGTGGTGCAGTCCCGTAATCCCAGCACTACTGGAGGCTGAGGCTGGAGGATTGCAAGTCTGAACACAGCTTATGCAGTGTAGTGACTTAATGAGACCCCAGCTTAAAATAAATCAACAAATAAATACATTTTAAAAAATGGCTGAATGGAGCTCGGTGCAAAGGCCTTAAGTTCAGTACCCAGTGGGGGTGGGGAATGCTGTGAAAATGTGGTAATACAAGCAAAGAATACTGTCAATCATTCAAACAGTTGTTGCTGTTGGGAGAGCTTTCAAATGTGTATGGAACACCAGGACATAAAAGGCAACATTCTGGTGCCAGAATACAACGGAGAAGTCTAACACTTGTGGGCCTGCAGCCCCACAATACCAGGCCGATTGTAGGCCTCTGTCTCCGTCTTTCCTCCACGTCTCTGCCCGAGCTGCTGAGAAGGGCTGAGATGAGCGCCCCTGCTTCTGGCTTTTCTCCTCCTCCTTATCTTTCTCTACCACTTTTTCTGAAGTCTGCCTTGAGTCTGCACAGATTGCTGTGCTGGCAGGACTTCCTCTTCACCTCCTGTCTCCCTGTAAACTACCCCCAGAGGCTCCTTCCAGTCCCTTAAATGCTCAATGTCTTACAGACGCATCCTCCACTTGTATGTATCTTGGAATCTTAGTGCTGATCATGGTGCCTGATAGATGTGCTGATAGGCAGGTGCAGAATAAGTTACTTTAGGAATTCTTTAGAGGAAAGCACTCTGTGGATAAGAATTTCTTAGAGCTAGAGAGAAGAAGAGAGAAGCAAGCATGCTCTTTTCTTTTACTTGGGGTCTGAACCCTGGGTACCGTGCATGCTGGTAAGGGCTCTCCCACTGAGTCATACCCCCAGCTTCATGCTGTTCCAGTGAGAACAGGGACCAGAGAGGATGTGAGGTTTTTTCAGTGATGTAATTATGCAGGACATAGTGGATATTAAAGGAACTTCTCATCATGGAATGCAAGTGCTGGGTGCGTACAAGAGCTTTCTCTTCGGTTGTGTCTCTCACATTACTTATGAAATGAATGAATGGACCAGCCCGTGAATGTACTGTGAGGTAGTGAGCTCCCTGGCCTATTTGGAATTGCCAGTCTTTCAGCTATTACTGGCCTAGGCAAAAGTTGGCAGACATTTTCTATGAAGGGCTGGCTAGTAAATATTTGCAGACCATGTGTTCTCTGGGGCAAATATTCAACTTTGTCATTTTTTTTGTAGTTTGTGGAAATGGCATAGAAAACATGTGAACAAGTAGCAGGGTGTGATGGTGCATGCTTGTAATCCCAGTGCTCAGTAGGCTGAGGCAGGAGGATTGTAAATTTGAGGCCAGCCTGAGCTACATAATAAAATCATACATAACTACATAGTGAGACCCTGTCTCCAAAAATAACAGCAACCAGAAGAAATAGAAGAAAATATGCAAACAAATTAATATTACTTTTCTAATAAAGCTTTTATAATTACTGAAACTTGAAGTTTATGTAATTTTCATGTGTCACATCATATTATTCTTTAATTCTCCCTCTCCCAACCACTAAAGAAGGCACAAACCGTTCTTAGCCCTCAGCTAAGGACTCCTGTGGACTTCAGTCTGAATGATCCTTAGCATCAGGTGCATAGGGGGTCAGATAAACCCAGTCATTGAGAGTAGGCCTGAGTTAAAATTTGTAGTTTCTGAATTTGCCACTAGAGGGAGATCCCTGCCATCGTGTGGCTCAGCCAGTGGGTGACACAGGGGACTACTGCAGGTTTCCAGGGTTTGGCAGATTAGAGGTTGCAAGGTTTATACAGCTATGCACACTGTCCCAACGATTTGGAATTTACCCCAAATCATACAGGTTTACTTCCCACAGTCATGTTCTTGAGACTTCGTTAGGTTATTTGCTGAATGGCTCAGGATACACCCGGCTACAGTTCAAAACTGGGGCTTCAGCGTGGCATCTGGACCCAGGTTCTGCTCAGGATGCAGGCTGAGTGGAGACCCCTTCTTAGATTAAGAACGCACCTGCAGCCTACGCTTGGGACCGGCATGTGGCTAGTGCTTCCACAGCAGCCCCTCCTCCTGGCCTCTTATGTCACCTTCTGCTCTCGAGGTGCACGACAGAGGACCCGGCATCAGCTTCCGTTAGCACAGTCTGCAGCAGCGGCCTTGAACTTGCTTTAGGCCGTGGAGGTTTGGGGTCAGCATGGTTCTGTTCCAGGTGGGTGTGTGGGGTGGGGGAGTTGTGCTGAAACAGAGACAGAGTGACACCTGCATGTCTGGCTCCCCAGCGGCCATTCCCGGTGTCCCCTTAGGTGGAGTCTCCTGTCCCCTGGAGCAGCCGTCTCCAGCCGTCTCATTTCATCCCTTTCTCATCTCTTTTCTTTACCCACTCACATGAAGGAGACCGGATGCCTGTGAAACTCATGAAGAAAGGAACCCGTTTTGAGTGGAGGAGGGCTCTGGGATAGCAGCGTGACACCGAAGGCCTATGAAGTTCAAGTTTGCCATCCTGGCCACCTCACCGTGCTGTCACTCACTTGGGTCCTGCCAGGCCTATTCCTGGCTTGGTCTCTCAGGAAGCGCGGAATGAAGCAGTTTCCTCTTCCATACTTTGAGGTATGTGTGGTCAAAGCAGACTCTCACGTCCTGTCTTCTCCGACCACTTAGCATCTCAGTAGGGCAAGAAGAAATCTTTTCAAAACTCCAGACTTGTTTTTCCCGCTGACAAAGACCAGCAGTTCTTTATTTTATTATTATTTAAAAAATCTTATTTTGAAGGTAGTAAAATACAACAGAACAAGATAGAAAAAGCCAACTGAGACTGTGTAGTGAAATTGGTACAGAACTTCACAGCAGGTTACCGTGATAACAGTAATAGGTATCAGAGTATATCTCATTATCTTCATAATAGTTGTTCTTTCAATCATGTATATCAAAATAAAGTGAGATACAGAACATTATAGAACTGATCAAAACAAAATATTGAATAGAGCAGTACTTTATTAATCATAATAAAGCAAAACAATAATAAAAATATTTGCCTTCAAAGAGATGGTAGAAGGAAATCCCCCTTATTTGCTATGGTCAACCTCCCAGGAGATGCTCAGATCTCTGGTTCCCATTTGCTAACAGGGGGCAGGGGAAGTGGGATGTTTGACTCTCACCCTGTGCACCAGTAGGTTCACTATTGCGTAGCAGGGAGTCAGGCTGGTTGCTTGGTTTCCCAGCATCCTAAGTTCCAACATGTCGCGGATCTCAGGAGACACTGGTGCTTCTGCCCCTGGAGGGGTTGCAGCCAAGACCAGCAGTTCTGAATGGAGACAACTGCACTATGTAGGAACGTGAGAAGAATTTTTGGGTGTTGCAATGATTAGGGGTGCTTCTCGCATGTTATTACCAAGGCTGGGGCTATTGAGAAAGGTTTGAATCCCATTGGAAAACAGCTTCAGCAACAATGACAGCAACAAAAAACAAACACAAGACAAAAAACTGTGATGGCGAGGGTGGATGGGCACCAAATCTTTCACCAGATTTGTGTTGCTAAGCAGTGCAGTCCGGCCCGTTTCCCCTCCCCACCACCAGCCTGGGGACAGGTGCCAATGCCCTCTGACTCCTCACCCTGGCCAGAGATTGTAGAAGTGCTAGGAAATGGAGAGCAGCCGTGTGCAATGAAGACCATCTGCCATTCACAGGAATGCCAGTATACAGATGATGCCCATTTCAGGTCAGTGAAAACCTGTTTATAATTTTCTGAGTCTAGAACACTCCTTTTGTCTTACAAACACTCCTTGTCACAGGATAGTGTTTGTAAGTTTAAATGTGTACTGAATTTTCTAAGAAAGCAACCTCTCATGAGTTGAGAACTGTTATACTTTCTTTGGTTCAGAACTCCACTAAGGGATAGTCACTCTTTCAAAAAAACATGGCACAGACAGCAATGTCCCGTGTGGTATTTGCGTCCCCAAAATCATGATAGAACTTTTGTAAATGGGAAGGGGATGGAGAGATGGTGGGGAGGGGAGAGGGGAAAGGGATGGAAGAAGAATTAAGATGTATTATGGACCAGTTCTCCAAGAGGATGTAATCATTGTGTACTGCAAGCATGTGCTAATAAAAATTAAAAAATTAAAAAAGAAAACATGTTTCACATGATTCAACTTTGGGTTTTCCCCCTCTCTCTCTCTTTGTCTCTCTGTTTCTGCCTCAGTCTCTATCTCTATCTTATTTTAGCATGACATTTAGTGTAATGGTATCCAAGAATATGATTAATGAGCACATTTACATACTTAATTCACAATTACTACATTAATGTATTATAAGTTAACTTTCACTTTAGTTTTCTCTTCTTAGGGCAGGCTAATAGTTTACATGTGTTTTTTGGAATAACACTTAGTAAATTATATTCTGTAGGAATTTCACTTCAAGGCAGCAGGGAGACTTTAGCTAATATTTACTGTGACACAAGACAGTGTAATGCTTTATAAGCTAGCTTCCTATTGCTGCTATAACTGATTATGACAAACGTAGTAGCTAAATAAAAACATAAACTCATCGTCTTGCAGTTCTGGAAGTGAGAAGCCGGTTTCTGGGGCTGAAGTCAAGGTGCAGGCAAAGCTGTGCCCGCTCTGGGGTCCTGGTGAGACTCTGGTCCCTTGCATAGAGGGTGCCTGAATTTAGTTTCTTATGATCCAGTCCTCCACTTTCAACCTCAGCCACATCATATCCTTCTATTTCTGACTTGAGCTTGTTGTTTCTACAGCTTCACCTCCTTCCCTGACCCTGACCCTCAGTTTCCCTCTTACAAGGAGGCCTGTGATTATCTGGGTACCGCAGGGGTAATCCAGGATCATCTCCCCATCTCCTGATCCTTAACTTAATCACGTTTGCCATGTGTTAGCCCATAGTCTGATGCTATAATTGAACGTCACAGGCTGCACACTTTATAAATAGTAAGTTTATTTGACTTGGGGTTTTGATGGTTGAGGGTTCAAGATCAGGTGGCTGCGCCTAGAGTGGTGCTTCTTGCTTGACACCGAAGGCGTCACGTGGCATCACGTGGCGAAACAGAGCATCCTCCCTCCGGTCTCCGTCCTCTTGGAACTCCATGGTCCAGCTGGCTCAGGGCCCTGCCTTTAGGTCCTTATTTAACCTAACCACTTCCCACAGGTCCCACCTCCAGACACCAAGACTGGGCTGTTTCCACCTTCTTCATTCCTCATAATGGGGACTTGTCAACATGAGTTTTGGGGGAAACATTCAATCCACTGGCAACACGGTCATAGCTCTGGGGATTTGGACCTGGATGTTTTTGGGTGACTGATGCTCTGCCTGCTGTGCTTTAATAATACTGTAATTGAGGTTCTGGGTGGGTGGTGCTCACGAATATAATTAACGCTTTCAGTTGCTGCTTCATCTCTTTCTGGTCTCAGAGAGGGTTGATTGCGTCCTTGATTGTGGTTTGGGTTGACCCTGTTCCAGTCTACAGAAGACCAGGCTGAGACTACAGTGGCAGAGCCTGGAGCTGTCAAGCAATGTGAATTCAGGAAGTTAACTTGCATCAAAAAACTCCTTCCTGCCATTTATTTTCCCTTGGGAGCATGTGATGTTTACTTTTCTAGAGGTACAAGCCTTACACGTCTAAGTTGGTTTGCTCTTCGAGATTCATCAGAAGTCACTGATTCTTTGGCTCTGATGGGATACACATTTTGATCTAAAAAACCAGGATGTATGCTCTTACAGTCTAAAAATGAGTTCATGAAGATTTTTGACGTGCTTCCAAGAGTCAAAGGAATTTTGGAAGAGATACAACTTGTTTGAAGACACTAGAATTTTGATACATCCTAATAGTTAGGGAGGAAACATTAGAGGATAAATAAATAGCCATCTTTTAATGAATATTTTATAAAATTCTGAGTGCTGTGTCATGTCCTTATGCATATTATCACACTTAAACTTCATAACACTCCAGGGAAGTAGAAATGATCATCCTTGCCTTGAACAGTCTGTCTCAAGGTGGTAATAGCAGGCTTAAAATTCAAGGTCAGGTGTATTTGACTCAGACAGCAATACTCAGACTGGGGATTTAGCTCAGTGGCATAAGTGCCTGCTGGGCAAGTTCGAGGTCTTGAGTTTGATCTCCAGGCAGAAGTGGGGGGGGGGGCAAGCGGGAGACAGTGCTTATGAGATACTGTACCCACAAAGATCCAGGACACAGGATACCCCATAAATTGGTTTGTCTTAGCGCACTTGTACCACTGTAACATAGTACAAGGATTGGGCAATATATGATGATAAAATGTTATTGGCTTATAGTTCTAGAGGCTACGAAGTTCAAGATTTAACCACTGCATTTTTTGAGAGACCTCCCACTTTTTTTTTTTTGAGACAGGGTCTTTCTGTGAAGTCTAGGCTGGCTTCGAACTCACTATGTAGCCAATGCTGGCCTTGAACTCATTTTGATCCTCCTGCCTCTGCCTCCTGAGTGCTAGGATTATGGGCGTGCACCACCAAACCCAGCCTGATACCAGGGATTCTTCTTTTATAAGGAACCCATTGCCCACATAAGTCACCCTTGATGATGGCATTAATCCAGTCACGAGGGTGCAACCCTCAGAGCTAATCACCACTTTGATGCATCTGTGCTCACACTGTGCATGGGCCAACGCGTGGACTTCAGGATCTGCATTCAAAGCACAACAAAGTGCATCTAGAAACTGTGATATCACATGGAAGGCAAGCCACGGCTGCAGATCTGCAAGTGTCTTTCTTTTCCACTGTAGTGTAAGTTCTGCTCGATGGCCAAGAAGAATGATGTTTAGTTCAATGGGGCCTGTAAGTGGGGTTTTGTTCAAACCATGCCTGTAAAATCCTCCAGGCTAAGAAGCAGCACAGAGCATGCTAGCATCCCTGGTACCAGATGTATGCTTCAAGGAAATTGATAGAAACATAGAGAAGGGGTTGTTAGTTTCCAAGTCCACCTTGCCTGTATCCGGCATACTTGTGTCCTTAGTGAAGCTAAGAGCCCCTCAGACCTCCATACCGTGGCTGGGGTGCTGTAGGACCTTCAGGTTATATTGGGAAGGAGGAGGGCCCCTGAGAACTCCCATAGTTCTGCCCCACATATGCCGGAGGGCTCAGTCCAGCTTCTGCTTCGTCCTGCAGGCTGTCCCCACAGGAGGAGACTCTTGGGCCCGTCTTAGTTGAGGAAGTGTGAGCCTGACAGCTGAAGGGTCCCAGAACAGCTAATATCACCTCGGCTCTTTTCTTGGGCCACTCCAGCTGTCTGCTTTTGATGGACAGAGGCATCTGGTTGCTAAAAATATCTGAGTGACCAAGTGCTCAGTTCCAGCGGGAATCTGACTGCAGTCCAGAGCCCAGCACTCGCGGACAGTTACTTCTTGCAAAGCAGCTTTGGTTAACTTGTCAGGCCCCATCCCAGGACTGACCACAGTAGCCCTTAGCTATTTTCTGCCCTGTTAGCTCCGTGGAGTGATGAATGAGACTGTCCCCGGGTCACTATCCTCCTCGCTGTTCTGTCCCTGACTCTAGGAACCCCGGTGAAGGGGGAGGTGAAAGCCCAGGGGCCCAGAGGGGGTGGGAAGGGGAGGTGGCCGGTCCATTTATAGTCCTGCTCTTTGGGATGCTGAAGGTGCTGAAATAGAGGCCGACACAAGAGGCTTGGCACAGTGAAGGACCCACCGAGCTGGCCGCACCGACCCTGCGATGACAATAGGGGGCATGGAAAACGTGGAGATCTTCACTTCCGAGGGCAAAGGCAGAGGTCTGAAGGCCACGAAGGAGTTCTGGGCTGCGGACGTCATCTTTGCCGAGCGGGCCTACTCTGCGGTGGTTTTTGACAGGTATGAAAATGTGGGGGTTCCCGTCCCACTGTTGGCTTGGATGGTACCAAACTCCACAGTGCTCTAGCTCCAGCACCATGGGAGAAGGACCAGAGTTGATGGAGTCTTTATTTATTTTTTTATTTTAACATGATGGCACTTTTGACCACTGTTTTCTTGTGTAACTTTTTTTTTTTTTTTGCAAGAAGCCATTGCCCAGTGACTTTCTGTGATCCCCCAAAGGGCTGGAAAGGTGAGCGAGGGCTTTGGGACACTTTCTCCTGACATTAGTTGGTTTGGTTGAGAGTTTGGTGGGGTGGGGGTGGGGCACTGTGGGAACTCTTACAGAGATCTCTTTTTAGATCTTTTTGGGATATTAAAATCCATATAAATATATTAGAGGATAAAGTGATTGCTGACAACAAGTAAGCCCTGTATTGATTTAAATGTGTTTCTTTCTAGAATGTTCTTATAGAATTACATGTGTCTGCACTTGTTGAAATAGGCAGGGGTAGTTTATTATATATATATATATATATATATATATATATTTATATTTATATTTATAGAAATGGTATACTTCATCTTTCATTTTAGATCTTGCTCTTTTCCCTGGACATATTTTTGATGTCTACTCTTGTGAGAATGATATAACTATAGATATTTCTTTCAACCCTCACAGATCTCTTTCTTTTGTGGGGCTATCCATATTGATTCATGTGTTATATGCATCACCACTTTTAACTGCTGGGGAGATTCCATTCTATAAATACGTAAAATTTATTTATCCACTTGCCAATGACAAACGATTAATAGCTTACTTTTTTTATATAAAACCGAACACTTCTGCAATCAGAATGCTTTCCCAAGTCTACTTCTGCCAATGTGGGGTTGCTCTCTAGGATATAGACCAGGAGGGGGATTGCTGGAGCATAGGCTATGTTGTTTTCAGCTTTAAGAGGTGTTATTAAATTTATATTTCCATTTCTCCACAGTCTTATCCAAATGGGACCACCAAATCTTTAAAAAAAATTCTCCATGGTGATTTCATTAAAATGACAATTTCCGAGTCCAAAATTGAAGTGGGCAGCCTGATAGCTATGTGGTCTGAATTAACATCAGCTCACATAATCCAGGCTCTGTGATTGGCTTGTTGTCCCAGCCACCCTGGGCGTGGGTGCTGCTTTTCATCGATGACTTGGTTAGCATTCAGATTCTCTTGACTGCCCCCTCACCAAGACCTCTAGGGAAAAGGCAGGGAATTGGAACACAAGGCTCATCACCACCTACAGAATATCAAGAGTTGAGATGACAGTCATAGCTCTTCAGGGGACGTTGTTTTATTTTACTGATTTAGGTACACGTCAGTCAGAGGGGGCGTGAGGGCAGGTAGGGGGTCAGCTAGATCCAGTTAAAACACAGAAATTTAGAAATGCGAACACTGATCTTTGTTCTGTCACTGAGTTGCCACCTGACCTTAAATGAACACCTCCATTTGGTGTTTCTGATTCTCCAAAATCAAAGCAGCCAATCAGTTTCCCTCTCAGGAATGTTTAGGGCTAGGGATTTAGCTTAGTGGTAAAGCACCTCCCTGGCATGTACAAGGTCCCGAGTTTGATTCCTGGTACACTTCTCTGGCCAAAAAAGAAAAAAAAATCAAGAATGTTTAGAGTGATGTGTTGTCTCCCAGGAACATATTCTTATTTTAGAAAATGCAGAAAGAAGCAATATATCATCACACGACAACAACTGCTCTTAATGTTTGGTTCTTTTCTTCTAGCTTGTTTTACAATAGCTTCATAGCTGGCTGTGATGGCACATACCTGTAATCCCAGAACTCAAGAGGCTGAGGCAGGAGGATGCTGTGAGTTCAAAATCAGCCTGTATATATAGCAAATTCGAGGCCAGCATGAACTATATCGCAAGACTCTGTTTCAAAAAGTCAAATGATTTGTACCACACAATTTCACTCCTTTGTACTACATATTTGGGTCCTAGGCTATTTTTCCGTTAATAATTTAGACATCTTCTGTACAATTATACACTCCTCAGAGACATAGTATGTAAGGACTGCATGTTCTACCATTTGCTCATAATAGACATTTAGGCTGTATCCATGCTTTTGTTATTACAAATAATTTATCATTCATTTGAATAACTCCAAAAACTTTGCAGTTAAATGCTATATAAGTGTATTATTACTACAAAGGTAATAAAAAGTAGAACGATTGGGGTAAATGATCTTTAAAATGGTGATGAGGGGGTTGTAGACGTCACTCAATGGTAGAATCAATCTTAGCATCACTAGGCCCTGGATTTGATTCTTAGCACCACAAAACAAGACAAAAGATGGAAGAAGATAAAAAAGAGATCATTTAAAAAATGTTTTAAACGAAGGTGGGGGTGGTGATGTATGCCTAGAATCTCAGCACTTGGGAGGCTGAGGTGGGAGGATCACTGTGATCTCAAGGCCAGCCTGGGCTACATAATGAATTCAAGGCAAGATGCAACTACACAGCAAGACCCTGTCTCAAAAAGAAAAGGGACACAAACATAGGCAAAAACCCACAATAAATACATAAAATGGGAGTCATAACATACTGTGCTCTGGGGAAGGTGGCAGCCTGGACACTGAACTCATATTCTTGGTGGGCAGGATGGTTTTGTGGGAGCTCTCTGTAGATGGATGGGTTATTTTGGAGGCTGTTCAGCATCTCCTGATGAAGAGCTGGCAAGGGTGCTGTACAGAGGCAGGAGGCAGAAACAGAATTGGGACGAAGGTCCCTTTCAGTCTGAGATTCTACAGGCAGTGGGATTTTTTCAATTCATGCACAAGGCTCCATGAGGTAAGAGAGGAGTGCTAGGTAAACAGGAGGAGAGAGCTTTTTAAAGTTATTATTATTTTAATTTAAAATCAAATACAAGAAATGGCACAGAAATAGTTGTTATGGGAGAGACTAAATGGCAAAATACTACTCAATTATTCCTTTTGACAGTCTCAGATGCTTGAATGTAGAATCTATTTAGCCAGGGTTTTATTTTTTATTTTTTTAATTTTTTGAGACAAGGACTCCTTATGTAGTTCAGCCTGGTTTTGTACTCACTGTTTAATGCAGGCTGGCCTCAAACTCATTGACCATCCTGCTCCTCGGCCTCCCAAATGCTGAGATTATAGGTGTGTACCGTTATACCTAGGTTAGCCTAGGGATTCCTAACCTGCACCCATGGATTCTTGCTGGGGAAATACCATTAACCAGAAGTTTGTGGGGGTGGTGGGCACACATGCTTTCTATTTCTGTTAGAAAATCTGTAGTTTTCATCACTTTCAAATGGCCCTCCAACCAGAAGGTTGAGCACCACTGGATTTATTTAATCCTCTCTGATGGATGGAGAAACTGAGAGGTCTGGAGGGGGTTTGGATCCCTGTGGGTGAGGAACAGCGCTAGATAGAATCCCGCTGTATCCTCCCAAAGTCATCACTGTTTACTGCTTGTTACCCGAAAAGTAGTCTACTTAATTTTATTCTGTTTGTAGGAACAATAAACAATATTTAGTTGTATTAAAAGAAAGAGCATCCACTATCAGTTTCAGAAGAATCAAGAACTCATTCTAGGGCCTGAGAATTGTTAGATCCCAGAAATTCATAGCTAAGAAATAAGAATATATACATGATTCAAAAAAGGACCAAGTGTTTATTATAATAAGTCGACGTGTTAGTTTCTTATTGCTATAATAAGTTACCATGACCACGGTGACTTCATGCAACATAAATTTACTGTCTTATAGTTCCAGATGTTAGACGTTTAAACCAGGTTCAGTTTTCTGTTTCTTTGCTGTCTCCAGTGTCTTGCAGCTGCCCACAAGCAGGAAAAAGACTCCTGGTCTTTATCCTGCCTCTTGAAAGCCAGCAGTAGCATCTTGCCCACCCTGAGCCCCTGCCTCCTCTGTGAGACTCTGTGGTGACACTGGATCTCCCTGGAGAATCAGGATGCTGCACCTGTCTCAAGGTTCCCCTCCTTAATTATGTTTGCAAAATCCTTTTGCCATATAAGGTGACAAGTTCCCCGGCTGTAGGCATTATGGTATGGTCATTTTGGGAGGCTATTATTCAGCCAAAAATATACATTTTCTAGATTAATCCTATTCATCATGAAATGTCAGCATACATTAAGAAGTACAGAGATTTGTCCTGGGTTTTTTAGCTTTCCACTGCCCCCAGGAATTGAACCTAGGATCTTGCATGTGCTAGGCAGCTCCTTACCACTAACTACAATCCTAGTCCCCTTTTTAAGTTCTTCAAATAAAAATGGGACCAGTTCCAAGGTGATTCTGGTTAAGAATTTACAAGCATTGAGGCCATAACGGTAAGTGAAGTAAATCAGATACACAGTTTAAATACTGCATGGTTGCTGGGTGTGGTAGCACATGCCTGTAACCCCAGCACTCAGGAGGCTGAAGCAAGAGAATTGCTGCAAGTTCGAGGCCATCCTGGGCTACGTAGTGAGTTTAAGACCAGCCTGAATTGCATAATGAGATCCTGTCACAAAAAAAAAAAAAAAAAAATCATGGTTTCTCTTATATGAGGAACTTAAAGTATAAGTAAATTAAAAAGCGAAATAAAATAGGGAACAGAGATTCTGTGGTACCTCAGTTCATGAACTTGATTCTTTCCACAATTCTAGTGGCACGCTGAATTTGATATGCACCAAATCAAATTCAATTCCACTCAGTGATGACTTTGTGAGGAAATTTGATTGGGTTCTCATCCAGTTCAGTTTGCAACCAGAATCATGCAGAAAATCGAGTTCATGAGCCGAGGCACCATTATAGATCTTTTTGAAAAGTGAAGGAGACCCAGAGATGGAGCAAGGGGAGAAGAAGGGAAAGTAAAAAGAACTAATGATGTATTTATTATGTGCCTGTACCAGCTCCCCCTGATAAATAGAATCATTGTATGCTGCAGACACTTACTAATGCAAATTAAAAAATATCCAGCACAATTAAAAAATAAGTTAAAAGTA